GACACAGGGATGGGGTCATCCCAGTGTCCCAGGGGTGCAGAGTTGAATTTGGGGAGACAGAGCTGTGGGGGGGATGGACGTGTCCAGAGTGGAATTTGGGGGGTCCCCGAGGTGACCCGTGTCCTTACCAGTGGGTGACGAGGCCGGAGTGCTGGTGGTGGCTCCCCGATGTCCCCACGGCGACAGGCAGACTAAAGGGCATTCACGATGTCCATATTTCGGTGTTCTTTGGGGCTCCTGGTGATGGATTTGGTGACATTTGGCACCCATGTTGCTGTCCCCAAGGTGACTCGTGTCCCCGCTGGTGGGTGATGAGGACGGAGCGCTGGCGGTGGCTCCCCAGTGTCCCCATGGTGACAGGCAGAGCTAAGGGCATTCCTAATCTCCATCCTTTGGGGTTCTTTGGGGCTCCTGGTGATGGATTTGGTGACATTTGGCACCCATGTTGCTGTCCCCAAGGTGACTCGTGTCCCCGCTGGTGGGTGATGAGGACGGAGCGCTGGCGGTGGCTCCCCAGTGTCCCCATGGTGACAGGCAGAGCTAAGGGCATTCCCAATGTCCATATTTCGGTGTCCTTTGGGGCTCCTGGTGGCGGATTCGGTGACACCCGGCACCTGTTTTGGTGTCCCCAAGGGCTACTTGACTCCCCCCTGGTGGGTGACAAGGCCGCAGCACTGGCGGTGGCTCCCGAATGTCCCTGTGGTGATGGGCAGAGCTAAGGGGATTCTCGATGTGCGTATTTTGGTGTCCTTTAGGGATCCTGGTGATGGATTTGGTGACATTTGGCACCCATGTTGCTGTCCCCAAGGTGACTCGTGTCCCCACCAGTGGGTGACAAGGCCGGAGCGCTGGCGATGGCTCCCCGATGTCCCCATAATGACAGACAGAGCTAAGGGGATTCCCAATGTCTGTATTTCAGGGTTCTTTGGGGTTCCTGGTGATGAATTTGGTGACATCCAGTGCTGTTTCGGTGTCCCCAAGGGCTACTTGTGTCCCCACGAGTGGGTGACAAGGCCGGAGCACTGGCAGTGGCTCCTTGACGTCCCCACAGCGATGGGCAGAGCCAAGGGGATTCCCAATGTCCGTATTTTGGGGTCCTTTGGGATTTCTGGTGATGGATTCGGTGACACCCGGTGCCCATTTCGGTGTCCCCAAGGGCTACTTGTGTCCCCGCTGGTGGGTGACGAGGCCGGAGCGCTGGCGGAAGCATTTTCCGCAGCGCGGGCAGGGGAACGGTTTCTCCCCGGTGTGGATGCGGCGGTGAGCGGTGAGGTGGGAGGCGACGGCGAAAGCTTTGCCGCATTCGGCGCAGGCGTGAGGCCGTTCGCCGGTATGACTGCGCCGGTGCAACGCCAACGCCGAGCTTTGGCTGAAGCGTTTGCCACAGTGGGCGCAGGCCAAGGGCCGCGCCCCACGGGGCAC